GGTGTCCCTATTTGCATTTCTCTGTTGTGCAAAAATGCTCAATAGTTATTCAGGTATTTCTTGGCAAGTGTTGTACATATTCTGAAAAACTGTGGGTTCCTTTCACAATCCTATTGGTTTTACATTTCAGCTGTCATGGAGTAACAGGTGAAATTTCTCTCATTCTGTAGTTTATTACTTCACCCTTTTGGTTGGACTTTTTTATGGCTTCAATATTTATGCAGGAGGATTAAAATCTTACAAAGTCCTTTTTGCTTGTTTTGTCACCCTATCTTATTTTCTACACAAAACAGCAACAATAGCATTAAGAAAAAATGTTTTTTAATACTTCTACATTCAGAACATGGAATGTCTGGCTCCTTCATGTTTCACTATGTTTTACTCTAATAGAATCATATTTGAAAGTGCTGCACAAATTACCATAAAAAGTACATTTCCTGAGTGAAAGAAAAATCACAATTTGCAGTAGTGATTCTTTTGTCCTCTCATACATTTATATTCTTTGCCTCAACTTACTTGTTTCCTTAACCTTCAAATTCACGGATAAATACAACTGCTTTGCACTCTGCTAAATCATCTAGCAGTTGCCTCCCAAAGTCAGCTTCAAAGCCAAGATCATTCCATCTCATTCTCTCCTCATGCTGGGACTAAAGAAATCACCTTTAGCCTAAACTTTATAGGAAACTCCTTAGCAATGCAATTATTTAAATACAAAATTATCAAAAATTGCATATTTTCTTAGTTTTTATAAACAAAAAGGAACATAAAAGTGACAATTCTACTGTATTCAATACAAGAATGAATGGATTAAATTGACAGCTGCCCCAATGATGCTCAGGATGGTCACTGCATAAACAAATGTGCTTCCCAAGTGATTCTCACAGATAACTGTTGGTGGCCCAGTGATAAAAGGACAACTACTGATGTGTAATTGTGAGTATAAAACAATGTTGACGCTGGTGAGGAAAGGGAGGTGTACTAAAGCATTAAGCTACATCTGCACAACTTGAAGATATATTTTGAGACAGGGTCACCCTAACTGTGTAGGTTGGACTCAACTTCCTCTTCCAGTATTTTAAGCCCCCTGAGGTGCTAGAATTACAAGCATGCATCAACAGGACCAGCAATATTTACTTTCATGGTAAAATGAGAAAGCATGTACTCAGGATATATGTCTTATAGATTCAGTATTCTATTATTAGTTCTAACACAAACTCCAAATTTTCCCATTGATGGTAAACAGATATGTACTGCAGGGAATCTGGCCACATGCTGTAGTGCATAGAGGCTGACAATGTACTTCACAGTGTCTTTTAGTTTGTGAAGTATATCAGGTACTTCAGGTACAAAATAGATATAGTTTTAGTGGTGATTATACATCAGGAGAGTAATTTATTTTTCCAAGGATAATTGAAACTTGTGCAAGCTATCATCACTGCATTAGGGGTATTTAATGTAATGCTCACTTGTGTTTTCATCACACTACATTTTATAACAACATAATTCCATTGGAACCTAAGCAGATCTTGTATTCAACAACACTGCATTGAACACTTTACAAATTACATGTATGTTAAAATGGAAGTGTAAATCACAGGCCACAGGAAACCAACTGGGACTCATGGCCCAGTGTATGTGTTTAAAGATAATTGGCACACACCACAAACATAGGGCACTGGTCCTTATAAGTAAAGAGATATGCCATTGTATAAATTCATAATTCAGTAAAACAGAACACAGTCTGAATCTTAATTTAGCAAATTTACTTTTTACGGTGTTGACAGCTCAAAATTTAGGTTTCCCTTCATGCCATTACTTCAGTGTCTGAGGAAAAAGCAGTAATAATTAGATAATATATAATGCATTCACAGCATCAAGGAATAAAATAAAGGCATTTGCATGATACATCCAATAACAACCTTTTTCCAAAAAACAACTCCACATTTAAGGAAAATTCATTTCAAAATGGTTACTCATAAATCATGCCAAATTTTATAATTTCTGGAAATAGTAATATATTTTGTGATGTGCTATTGGAGACAAGTTATGGTTCTGTCCTTATGGGGCATTCAGAAATTCACAGTAGTATGGTTTACTTTTGGTACATGTGGAGAAACATTACTAGCAAAATAAAGATGTAATATAAACATAACAGGTAAATTCTGATTTAGAAAAACAAAGGTTTACTTAAATGACTAATATTTGCTCCACTGAGAAAGGAAATCAGGCAACATAATGTACATAGTATGATATCCAGTGATGTTAGGAAGTCAGCAGGTAATTTATCTCATCACAACATGGAAAACATAACATTCATTAATGTACAAGTTAATTAAAAGAATACAACTTTGTCAAAAACACATGTTCCAAGCATCTATAAATGTATATCTTATTGCCAAATATTGCATCAACTTCAGAAACATCATTTATGAAAGAGAAAATAAGGCATGTGCATCAAAAGATTAAAGCAAATGCAGTGGTAAAATTACAATTGACCAAAAAATAAGAGACTAAGCTTATATCACTCTGAACAGTGAATAATAGTATTGCTAGATTTTATATCATAATGCTACAGAATTACCATTGGGTTTCTCAGTGTCTGTTCTTCAAAGTATCTGTTCATTACATCATTTATTATATACTTTGTTCCCATAAACAGGTTAGAAAATCTTCCCATGTGTGAATCTCTATATGTATGTCTATCCTTTCTGTATTATGGGGAAAAAGAGATCAAAACAAATTACTAGAAAATCATGATATGAAAAAGATATATAAGAACACAATATTAGGTGATGTACAGTAATTACTATGCTTTCTCTTATTTTCAATAGAATTGTGCACATCATCAGGCACTATAAATTTAAGCATAACATTACATAGCTATTTTTATGAAAACACAACATTGAAACATTGTAGGATGTGAAAGCAGTTAATAATCAAACCTGGAGTGGATATCTTTTATTCATTTATTTTTTTGGTACTGGGGATCAAACTCATGACCTCATACTTGCCAGGCAGGTGCTTAAGCCACTGAGCTAAATCCCCAGCCCTCATATGGATATCTTTTACATCTTGTCATCTTCAGAGTTGTTGCCTCTACTCTTAGACTTGATACCAGCATGCATACCAAATGTGAATAAAATCAGTCAAGGCCAAATAGCATTCAAACAAACCAGCTTCAAATAAGATCAGTCATAGTAAGACAATGTAAGTAATATAGGGTTTCAGTTTAAGTTAATAGGAAATTAAGCATAGTTACCATGGTATAACCTACTATTTTGGTGTTACCTGCCTGTGCCCTCAAATCTAATATGAGTAGACAGACCGGAACAAAATATAATCAATCTAAACAGAGCAATAAGGCAACTGTAGCTTTTAAATCCTGATAAACTTTTAACAATGTCCTCTGCCTTCTTTTTTTAGGCAATTCCTCACCTTTCTCCTTCTGAGGACACTATGATTCACTGTTCAGAATGATATTAGTCTAGTCTCTTATGTTCAATTTGAGCATACTAAAGATAAAGACAGCAACTATGAAGAGAATGAGAGACATTATGGTAGTCATTATCAACTTCCCCAAAATAAGGTCTTGAAGACCTAAAAAGCCTTTATCATCCTGTAATTATTTGATTAGTTCTATAATGTTCAGTAAATATTCAATGCATGTGAAGATGGGAACAACTATATATGGGGAAAAAACTAGAGACAGTAAGATAGACAGTGGACATCTCCAGTGGACTTGCTTTGAAATGTGTGTTTCCTTAACTTGTTTTCTTATGAACTGTTCTATTCTGTTTTGTCATTTTTAGTCTTATCCTCTTTAAGATAAAAAATAAGTATGTAGGACAGATAAGCATATTACTAAGTTTTTGTTGGATCATTGAGCAGAACTCTTCATGGTGTCATTATTTGAATGTCACTTTGTATGCTTTAATTTTGTAACAGTAACAGCTATTTCTAAGATGACAATATGTAACTTATCAACTCGTGATTTCTTATTATTTTTCTGATTATTATTTCTACCCTTTTTCTTTTTTTCCTCTTTAAATAAAAAAATTACAATTCACCAAAAAATATGAAAATTAAGTTTCAAAGACAAAACATTAAGCGCCTAGACACTGCTTTGCATTAAGAAGTGGTTGTCAACTTAACGCCAGCTGTATTACATCAGCATGGCATTGAGCAAAGATGCTCCACATGTGGAAAGTTGCCAGGATATATAGGTGGAGAAGGAAGGTGATGAGGGTTGAGGCATTAAGGAGGCATTATGGGTTTTCCTGAGTTGCTATCTGAGCTCTTGGTTGTCCTGGAGAAGCCTTGGTCCTCACATCGAGCATTGCTTCCTGGCTTCAGATGGGAAGACATGTGCTGCTTGGTCTCCATGATGAACTCATCACACTGCTTCCTGGCATGTACCCAGCTGTGCTTGTCATCAGAGGAGCTTGGGGCCTTCATGTTGCTGAGGACAGCAGTGGTGCCTTTCAGGATAGCCCTGGTCTTTGTTGTGTGACTTCTCAGCTCCAACATAGAACATTCAACCCACTAGCACAGCTCCTTCATCATGCTGGCATAGGCTTTCTAGCTTCCACCACTGAACCTTGGGTCTTCCCAGCATGTATTCATAAAAGACACTCCAAGAGTCCTTTTTGTAGGCTCTGGACCTCTAGTTGGACTCATGGGAGTCATTGTCCTGAGCACTGGATTTATATCTGAACTCATGTGGGACATCGCTGTGGGGTTTAGGCTTTTGACTATATAATCTGACTTTGGTGTTGCAGATAGACTTCCCGCATTTTCCTGTGTTAACTCCCATGACTATTATAAAAATAATATTATAAACTACTGTCTGCATATAATTGATCTCTGTGCACCGCCCCTGACTACAACAGTCACTATCCATACTTGAAAGTGAAAGGCACATTTCAGTTTAACATGTTTAATTACAAGATGCCATGTTGAAGCACAAAGACACTTTAAAAAATCTAGAGGTACAAGTGATTAACTGAAAACCATACATTTGCACTTGATGAGAGCTCCACCTCAGATTGTTGTTTCTGGAAAATTTGTGAAGAAATGTTTACATCAAACTTCTGTATTGATTATTTCTACAGGTTTCCTAGGGAATTTTAAAGTAAACTTAGATCTAAATTGTCTGACCAGTAACGCTTTTTCTATGTATTTAAAAACAAATACGGATTGCTGTATTTCTCACATTGCTAATCCACATAGGATCTCAGCCCAGTGAGCTCTTTCAGATATGTAACAATTATGATGTGTGCTGAGAGGATTCCTCTAACACATAAGATTTATCTCTAGTGTGAGTTTCTTCATGTATTTCACTTTTACTCTGGCTGCTGTAAGTGTCTGCACTTGCTTACATAGCCAGTGGTTCTTCCCAGTGTGAACTTTCATGTGTTTTGCAATCACTGTATGCTGTAAAACCTTTGCCACATTGTTATATACATAGGGTTTCTCACCAGTGGGAAGCCATTGATGTATTTTACAATATCCTTGTGTAGTGAAAGCTTTCACACATTCTTCAGATATGTAGGGTTTCTCAAAAGTGTGAATTTGGGGCTGGGGATTTAGCTCAGTGGCATAAGCACCTGCCTTAAGGCAGGCAGTCATACGTTTGATTCCTGGTACTGATAAAACAGAAAAAAGAAAGACCAAAAAAAAAGTGTGAACTTTTTGATGTATTGGACAATGAGTGTTTCTGCTGTAACCTTTCCCACATTCCTTACACATATAAGTTTTATGCTCACTGTGAAGATTTTCATGCATTATGCAATATGTATATATGAGCTCAACCCATTGTCATGATGCTTACATACACTGGGTTTATTTTGAGTGTGTACTTTCATGTTGCTTACAATGTGCACGTTGGGTAAAAACTTTCCCACATTGCTTACATACATAGGATTTCTCTCCAGTGTGAATTCTTTCATGTTGCTTACAGTTTCGAAGGTGGGTGAAACCTTTTCCACATTGCTTACATACATAGGATTTCTCTCCAGTGTGAATTCTTTCATGTTGCTTACACTCTGCACATGTGGTAAAAGCTTTCCCACATTGCTTACATGCATAGGGTTTCTCTCCAGTGTGAATTCTTTCATGTTGCTTACAATTTCCAAGTTGGGTGAAACCTTTTCCACATTGCTTACATACATACGGTTTCTCTCCAGTGTGAATTTTTTCATGTATCTTACAATATGCATTTGAGTTAAAAGCTTTTCCACATTGCGTACATACATAGGGTTTCTCTCCAGTGTGAATTCTTTCATGTTGCTTACAGTTTCGAAGGTGGGTGAAACCTTTTCCACATTGCTTACATACATAGGGTTTCTCTCCAGAGTGAATTCTTTCATGTTGTTTACACTCTCTACATGTGGTAAAAGCTTTCCCACATTGCTTACATACATAGGGTTTCTCTCCAGTGTGAATTCTTTGATGTTGCTTACAATTTCGAAGGTGGGTGAAACCTTTTCCACATTGCTTACATACATAGGGTTTCACTCCAATGTGAATTCTTTCATGGATTTGACATTTAATGTTACTGCTGAAAGCTGTCCCACATTTCTTACATATATATGATTTCTGCCCAGTGTGAAGTTTTTCATGAATTACACAATAAGTACGTGTACTGAAAGCTTTCTCACAGTGCTTACATTTGTAATGTTTTTCTCCAGAGTGAAGACTTCCCTGTACTTGACAATATGTACGTGGTGTAAAATCTTTTCCACATTGCTTACATACAAAGGGTTTCCCTCCACTGCAATATTTTTCATGGATGTGAACATTGTGATGTGTTTCTCTTTCTTTCACACCCACATAACCTTCTGCAGTACAAAGATATACTTCTTTACACTGACTCCAAGATGCATGTCCATAGGATTTCCCTATCTTGTCATTTCTGTAAAGAAAAAAAAAATCACATATAGGATTGATAACTATATTACTGTTTTTAATGGAGAGTTTAACAAAGCTGTTTGCAGTCTCGCTGTTTGAATCTCCACTTCATATGTTTCACTTTTGTGTCTTGATTAACTATTTCTCTGAGCACCATATATAATCATTGATCTGTGATTTCTTACTGTTTATTTTCAGATTGAAAGTAGTATTATTTCTAATTATTTTGTTTTGTTAAATCTTTCCTTACATAAAATTTTTTAAAAAAGAGCAAAATCAGTGAAATGGGTCTTGGTGTTAATGACTGCATTAATGTCAAGTTCTGTTTTTAATGCCTGCTAAGAAATTCTGACAATGAAAAAACAGAATGCCTTGTAAGATATGATGAAAACAACCATTCCCAAAAGACTGGTACACATTTGCAAATCTTTAAAGTTGGTACCTTTTGAGATGCAGAATATTTAGCTTCACTTTGGGCATGGTTACATATATGTATCACATACTGAACAATCTGATATGTTTCCCCATCACCATCTCCCTTCTGTCCTTAACTTGTAGTTCCCTTTTCCAAAGGGTAAGTCTTACCTTTCTCTGTCAACTCTCTTTCATTTCATTCCACAGTTTATATTTTGGTTTCTCATCGAAAAGAAACCCTCTGACGTTTTAGGTTTTATAGGTGAGCTATTTCACTGAATTGATGGGAGAAAGACACACCTATTTCTTATGCCAAATGACATTATGTTATTTACTTTTTGACATTATATAACACAATTTTTTTTTCTTTTCCATGCTGGGAATGAACTACAGGTATTAGTATAAAATCTCTAGCTTTTTTATTCATTTTAAGAGATTTTCACTGATCATTAAGCTGTGAAGTTAGAAAATCTGATTCCTAGGGTTCTGGGTTTACAAGAATTTACAATTACACAGAGTCTATTAACATTTTCCTTCTCCACAAATATAGTGATAGACAGCTAAGCTGCTTTAAGGCCTGATCTGTTATAAATTGATCTGCATTGTATATGAGTAAGCATGTAACTGTATTTTATGCGCATTTTGAGTTTTTAAAAATATATCCAGAAGTATGAGGGGATCACCTTCTTTAGACCACTGCATACTGATATTCAGAATGAGTGCACTTAGCATTCCACCAGCCTACTAAGACTTTTAATCAGAATAGCTGATTCTCTGGAGCAAGACTTGGAAACAGGAGCACTCGGTTTTACTTCAAATTCTATTGAAACTTAGCAATTATTAGATAATAAATATGTTGTATTCACATGTATATATGGGTAGAAAAACTGAAAGCAGAATGTCATAACTCAACATATATATGCCTTTCATACACATCTATATGCAATGTCATACATTTTCAAGATTTATTTCCCTTATTATACGTACCCTAGGTTATACACCTTTGGAAAATATTACTGACATTAAACTGAATGGTGCCTCATTTCTTTGGCAGTCATTTTTCTGACTCACTAGTTACTCAGGAAAATTCCTTCTCCTTGTGAGTGCAAATTACCTTAAGTATCTCCACTGAATTTTGCATTCTTTTTCATCTTCCTGGATATCCCCAAGTCCTCCTGAATTGTAGACATAGAAATACCAGGATTCATTAGAGTAATACATACAAATTAATAGATTTTGATTAGATTTATGATATAATGTGACCATGTTTGAGGTATGTTTCCAAATATTTTCACATTATTTTTAATGAAACAGCACTGATGAGCAAAAAACAACAATCTGATAGCATGAGTGACAAAAAAGATTCATCCTTACCTATCACAGTCATGTTCCTAATGGTTTCCTCCATCACATCTCTGTACAGGTTCTTTTGGGCAGGACTCAGCAAACTCCACTCCTCACTGCTGAAGTTCACAGCCACATCCTCAAATGTCACCACCTCCTAAAGGATCATACATACATTTCTCATAAGAAGGTTGAGACCTCAGGTCTGGGATATCTTAAATTCTACCTCCAAATCTGAATCAAAAGCAAAGTGTGGTGGTGCAAATCTATAATCCCAGCACTCAAAAGGCTGAGACTGGATGGATTCGGTGAGGTCAGGGCAATTCTAGTCTCCATAGGGTGTTCAAATCTAGCTGATATACATGCAGAAACCTTGTCTCAATAAAACAAAACTAAAGTAAACAATAAAACCAAACAAAATAGATGAATGGAGACTGATTTCTTCAAATCTTAAATCTATGTCTTGCTCATTAATTTTGTGTATATACACATTGTTTGAGACAGCAAATTTGATGCTAGATTGCAACTCACTGCTAATGTAACAGCCAAATATGAGCACTAATAATTGCACTGAGTCACAGCAACATTCCCTGTATATTGTCTCTAAAGCAGAGCTCACAGTGAGAAGCCTGCAGGAACAGCATCCACAAAGCACAGAGGCAGATAAATATCTCATCAATTGACTGGGAAGCCAAGCAAACACATCCCCTCTCTGGTAAGCCATAGTGGTCTGGCAGACTGTGGCTCTTTTTGGAGGAGAACCAGCAACAGCTCCTGAGATCCATGCCATGATGGAACTTAGGACACTGAGTAGCCAGACAATCACATTCCTTCCCTGGTAAGTGGTGGCGGTGTGGCAGACTGCTGCTCAACCATGGGGAGAACCAGCAGCAGCTCCTGAGATCCATGCCATGTTGGAACTTAGGACACTGGGAAGCCAAGCAAGCACCTCTCTTCCCTGGTAAGCAGTGGTGGTGTTGTAGACTGTGGCCCTTCCAGGGGCAAACCAGCAGCACATCGTGAGATCCACACCACATTGGAACACAGGATGCTGGGAAGCCAAGCAAGCACTGACCCTCCTTGGGAAGTGGTGGCTGTGTGGCAGACTGTGGCCCTTCCAGAGGGAGAATCAGCAGTAGCTCCTGAGATCCATGCCATGTTGGAACTTAGAATGCCAGGAAGCCAAGCAAGTGCCTCCCCTACCTGGTAAGTGGTGGCAGTGAGGCAGATTGCAGCCCTTCCAGGGGGAAAACCAGCAGCAGCTCCTGAGATCCATGCCATGTTGGAACTTAGGATGCTGTGAAATGAAACAACCTGCCTGCCTCCCTGCTAAGCAATAGTGAACCTACTGATGCACAGCCTAGAACTAAACATCCCACTTCCCCTACTACTCTTCACGTGTCATCCACATTAGCAAATGGGAACCAGAAATCTGAGCATCTCCTGGGAAGTTGACCGTATCAAATAAGGGGGACTTCCTTCTACTATCTCTTTGAAGGAAAATATTTTTATTACTGTTTTGCTTTATTCTGGTTAATGGTACTGGTCTATTAAATATTCTGTTTTGATAAGTTCTATAATGTTCTATAGTTCATCTCATTTTGATATATGTGATTGAAAGGACAACTATTACAAAGATAATGAAATATACCGTGATACTTATTACTGTTATCCCAGTAACTTGCTGTGAAGTTTTGTACCAATTTCACTGTAAGATCTTAGTTGGCCTTATTCTGTCTTGTTCTGTTATATTTTATCCCTCTCAAAATTAAAAAAAAAGAAAAAAATATCTGATCAATCACTTTGATAGACTACAGATGATGTTGCTTCAAATGTCATTTAGGCCATGGAGTACTTTTTTCTTAATATACTTAAGCAGCATTTTGAAATATGAATTTGATTTCATAGGACAAAACATAAAGCAAATCAAATATAGTACATAAATAATAGCTCAAATGTTAGTGGAAAAGAGCTGTATTTTAAAAAATGTATAAAAAATGAAACCAGCCAAAAGCTGCAAATTATACTGCAGTGTCACTTTCCATTCAGATATAAGAAATATATCTTTGGGGGCTGGTGAAGGAGTTCTTCCTTGAATTTGGGGCTATCCTAAGTTACAGAGCTTTCTAAAATAGAGAAACCCTGACTCAGACACCCCACAGAGAAAATGAAACTTGAAAAAAAGACTGCATAAGACAACTGTGGTTTGTTTTTAAAAATTATAGCCATACAATACAGAAAAATTTCAAAAATATTCAACACTTTCTGAGAAACAATGTGGATGTCTTCTATATTATACAGAAAACACTTTCATAGCTGGGTATTTAGCTCAGTGGCATAAACACCTGCCTGGAAAGCAGAGGTCATGAGTTTGATCCATGTTTTTAAAAAATTAGAATTTCAGCTTCATGACACTAGGGCATAATTAGAGATAATCAAAATTAGATCTCAAGTATGGAAAACAAAATTTATGGGTTTACAGGGATGTGGAATATTGATTGTTGCCAGACCTGGTGTTATTCACCTCAAGGAAGCAATCAGAGCCCAACTTTAACTTTATACCTACTTTAAGAACTACGTGACTTTCAGTAAATACCCTCTCTGTTGTATATTCTGCTATTGGCACCCTGAATCATACCAATCACCTCCACATCCTTTCCACACTCCTCTGATCCATCCTAAGCAGAAAGCCCTTCATGCCTAACTATTGATATCATTGCAAAATTTCTATATAGGGCTTCTCCTTACACCACTTGTAATGTTCATTGCAGAGCATTCCCATATTTAAACTGTCTATGATCAACCAAGCTACTAAATCAGCTCTTAATTCAGAGATGATACCCCTATTCCTTTCCATTCAGAAGGATATCATGTATATACATCCATGCAAATGCCTAAACCTCTTTTTCAATGAGAATTTAACAGATAGCCCTTTCTGGAATTTGTCCTTCACAAATTTTTACCCTGTTCTTGATAATACTTTGTTATTTGCTTCATTTTTCTCAGACTTCAACTCTATGGCTTTTCTCACAAACTTGGTCTGTGAGCAGGGGTGGCACCTAAGTAATTAATTATGTTCAGGAATTATTTTGCACTGTCCTGTATAAAACACAGGACTTCACCAGGTGTTTGGGAAGCCTTTCTCCACTAAGGCACATCACTGCACATCTCTGAATTCTCAGGGCATTTGACACTATCTGTCATGAGAATGGAAATATGAGAACATACTATACATTTAGCCAATTACTATAAATACCAAAAAGCCCAAGGTTAAGTTGAACCACTGTGGCTATGAGGCCCTATATTACAAATATTCATAAACTTTGGACATTCTAGATCTGCTGCTCAGAGGAAAGAGAGGAGAAACCTAGCTCATCACTGCTTTAAAGCTACAAAAATCACCAGAGTCAGGGTCTTCCTAAGCTTCTTCCAATGCCTAACATGGTGGAGTTACCAGGCCAGCAGTGAATTTCAAAGATGATACTCGAGGCTGCTGCTGTCATAGTGAAGCCAGGATTCTGGAGACCCCAAATTACCCTTGTCAACAGCAAGAGGCAAAAGGGACAGTGAATGACCCATGGCCAGTGCTGGAGGACCTCAGGAGCTGAAGCTAACTAAATAACTGAGGCTGAAGACACCAGAATTACTACTAAACACTTGTAGGTGGTTTCACACAATCCACCCTATTTCTGGGCTCCCATCCAAAACCTCACCATTCCATGGCTCCAAGGACTCTCAGGTTCTTTGTTAATCAGGCCACAGGACATTGAAATTACTAAACGACATCCAGCAATCATTTTACTACCAGTATTGTACTCAGAACAGGTAAATCATGCTGAGACACTGGAAGAGACAAAAGTCACAGCCAGCAAAAGCCTGCCTGATTGGACAGTTCATATAGCCCGCCTCTTCCTCAATGAATGACTCCTGGTCTACTGCCTTCCTTCTGAATCAAGAATAAAGAGGGAAAGTTACCCCTCCCTGCAAGAGAGGATCCAAAATGATAGACTGCAGTGCAGGGACTTCTGGAGCTCCAATTCTTCTAAAGTGGTGAACTCAGCTCAACAGGTGGGTGTTTGTCCTGAAGAGCTTTACCCCAAACTTTTAATTTCCAAATCCATTTTATTTCAAGGAAAAAGGAGCAAATCAACTAAAATTAAATTTCAAAACATGTCAATCAGTGGGCAACACTGGTATATACATTGCACATTGTCATCCCCAGATCATTTACCCAGAGCACAAGACATCTGTAATCAATTTTCCTTTTTTTTCTTTTTTATTGGTGCCAGGGATTGAACTCACAACTGCTTGCTTGCAAAGGCAGGAGCTTATGCTGCTGAGCTAAATCCCCAGCCTTGTAATCAATTTTCCAAACAATACTGTTACTGGCACCTGAGTTATTTAAATACTATTGGCAATGAGACAGGGCTAGGTCCTCCCTCCAAGGAGCCCATGCAGGAGGTCAGATACCTTGCAATTATGGGGAAGACTGACACTGCATGCTATGGGCCAAGGCTCAAGACAAATGGTAAGCAAATTCATCCATATCCTAAGGATTGATATTCGAAACAGCTCCATAGCACACTGAGGAAGTCAGGAGTCACCACTGAAAGAAATGTATCCTTATCCTAAAGACTAAAATTCTAAATAGTTCCTACCATCCTGATGAACTCAGGAGTTATCCTCCCAAACCCCTATAGGAAGAGTCACAGCTGCCTAAGAATGCCTGCTTTCTATGTGACTCCCTTCCCCCTTTGTTCCCAATTTAACTAACTTTACGCGAACTTATACTCTTATTGGCTACCATAGCTCTGTCAAATCTTATACCCATCTGCATTGTGAGTTCCTAGTTTTCCCCAGGTTAAACTCATCTCACCACATGATTTTACTCTATAAACGTCCCTAAAAAGGACAGTGTTTGGCAACCTGCTCAGGACCCCTTCTCTCTCTCAGGCAGCTTTCTTACTCTCAATAAGTATATTCTTCTATTAATCTCTGTTGTTCCTAAAATTCATTCTTTGTCTTTACAGAACAGAAAACTCATATCGGACATAGTACACTGGGAGATTCATTACCCTATATCAATATCAGTATAAACTTTTCTCTTTCTTTAAGTCATAGAAATCAGTAGTAGTTTGTATTCTACAATTGTGATCTGACCTCTCCAGGGATACTTGCATTGAAAGGCTTTATCCCTGCCTTTAAGTGCTGCTTCTTTTTCTGAAAGTGAACTGATCTGTAATTTTGGTTATGGTATCTGCAATGCATTAAGGAAATGACTCAAAATATTTCTTATGAGTGGTTTACCACCAGCCATGGGGGAAGACAGATATCAAAAATTTTTTGTTTTGATTTCTTCATTCCAACTAAAGGATGTACTTGAAAGAGTTTTGCACTAGAAACAATTACAGGACCTCAAGGTGGAAGAATGCGAAATCAGGGATGCTTAACACATATTGCCACTTCCTCATTTTTCCTTGAGTGCAACTTGCTCTTTCTTTCCCAGGGGCCTAAAAAAAATTTTCCATCAGCTCCTGGCATGACACCAATGTCCTCCAAGCACCACATCCAGTCAAAAGTCACATATGCCCCATAACCCCATAATCAGTTGGGGAGGGGAACAACCAAACCCTTGATGGCTGTGGGCTCTTCTCCACATTCTTTAAATAAAAGTCCACTTTTATATTTCTTATATTCTCCTTTTCTATTGTGCTAATTTACCTCCTTAGTAACCTCCATAATGTAATCCACTTTAAACTTATCTCACCACATGATTTTATTCTATTAAGTCCCTAGAAAAGACAGAGTCTTTGCTTGCTACCAGCTCAGAATCCCTACTATTTCTCAGAGACAGAAGCTTTCAGATAGGATTTTTGGTGTAATAAAGAAGAGAATATAAAGTCAAAATGGCCTTTATCCTAAGACCATGGAGAGAACCCCATGACCACTGGGGGTTTGGCTTTTTCTTCTGGAAATGTGTGGGGGAATACATATAGCTTTTCACTTCGGTAGTGCTGCAAGGCTGCACTGCTGATATGCAAGTAGCTGATTGAGACTCTTTTCCCACCACAGGTTGGATAGGGGAAGAGAAAGTGATCTCAAGATTAAAGTCCCCTGGTTCCACATCCCACTGCCAAAATATCCTATTTAGGGCAAAA